TAGTGTGTATAAGTGTGGATGGCCTCTAGCGTGTAACAAACAGTTCATGGGGTTTCTACTTGGTGGTGATGGACAAGTGATATCTTTAATAGAAACTGAGTTCAAGCTTCAAACTCTGATACTTTTCTGTGCTGTGGATTTGTGGTAAAAAAAAATCCTTCATTGGTGCCAGGCAGTGCTAGGTGCTGGAATTCCAGACTGAATTAAAATGGGAATGCAAGAGGCACCAGCATTCATGATTCTCTTCCAGGCTGCAGCGTGACCAGCCACCTCATGCTCCTGCCACCACACCCTCCCGATACATGGGGCTATGTTTCTCAGACCTGTGAACCCAAATAAATTCTCCTTCCCTCTCTTGCCTTTGATCAATTATTTGTCCACAGTAGTGAAGAAAGAAACCAAGACACTGTTGAAAATGCTTTTACTGTTCCACATTGACTTTCAAAGGCAAGCTAGATTATTAGCAATCACAGTGACATGGGCCTTATTCAGGGACAATTCCCCACTGTGGAGGGTGCTGAAGCTCTGCAGCACCCAAGGTTGTCACCCAGGGCCTGGTAACAATGCATGGTCACAGTGCAGAGTGCTTTCCAATGTGCATTTGCAGAAAGTACAAAGGGCTTCCAAGTGAAATGTCATTGATTGGTTTCCATGTGTTCTTCTGAATGTCCGTGTTGGTCAATGTTTGGCAGTTATTGACAGACAAAAAGGATCATGAACTATACTTAGGAAAAATAATGTGCTGTGGAATCTTGACACCCAGGGAATAACACCATGCAGTAAATATTTGTTAGCATAAAAATCTAAAAGGCTCCGTGGCATGCTGGTGCCATGCCCTGAGTAGCTAGTGGTTTTCTTTGATTCGATAGCTTGAGAATCTCAGAATCATGCTGTGGTAAATACTGTTTGGGGGTTTCCACCCCACCTTATGTCATTTTGTTCCCAAATAAATGACGCCAAATCATAATATTTATAATAAGCCTTAAAAGCAGGAGAGCTGGGCAGAGGTCAGCCCTCTGTGCTATTTTGTCTACTTTCCTGTCAATAATCCTGAACTATCATTTGCCATGTTCCACCATGCTCTTATTCCCTCATGGACCTGCACTCACGATCCACCTACCCCATGGTGTCTTTTTCCTTCCTCTTCTCCTCTCCCTCAAGGTCTCTGCCTCAGACCTCAAGCCCAGGAGCCAAAGCTCCGCCTAACTTTCTTCTGCCTAGCTATGGGCCATTGGCATCTTTATTAACCAATAGTTTTAAATTAAGGAGCGAGGTTTGCACAGCAGAAGCTGGCACACAAGGGGACTCACTCACTTTGAGGCAAGTACACTTGGGTTACAGAATTTAGCAGTATAGTACATAGCAACAGACGAAACCTCAACAGAATCCTGTGACTGGGTGCAGAATCAATGCAAAATGGTCTTTGCTGAACTTTGCCAAACAGAGACACACAGGGACACCCAGAAATGGCAAGAAGGGACTGTGATGTTTTCTTTTTTGAACTGTCACATGAGGATATTCTAGAGAATGTGAGCCATACATACAGACAGCGATGGCACTCAGAAACAGATGTACAGTTAAATGATGCGTTTCAGACACATTCCGCACAGACCAGCCAAGATTCAAAGACCAGATATGTCTATCAGATCCTTTTCTGTTCTCGCCAGACCTGGCTACCACCCACCAAACCCACAGAGCACTTGTGAACAAGCAAGTGTCATTTTTCAATGCCGAGTGTTTGCCAAAAGTTACTGAATAAGTAATTGCTTTCCTGTTCACATCTGTGCTCACCAGCCTATAAAAACCTCAGGAGTGGAACAAAGACCATAATAGCACTGGCTGAGATATGAAGACTAAGAAAGAAGTCTCAGCTAGATTCAGCAGCCCTGTGGTTGAGCCAGGCTACACACAGCCAAGAGAGCAGCCTGATCAGCAATGGATTCGTTCTGTCTGGGCATTGTCCTGTATTATAGTTTATGAATTCTACCGCTAATACAAAATAAGAGGACACAAAAAATCTAGTTCAGATCAGTATCGGGGCCTGAGAAGGGTCCCGAATACCAGATGTCACTAAAACCAGATCAGAGCGGATGCTTCCGATGCTCTGATGGTGCATACTGGTCATGTGTTCACGGTGTCTGCAAGGCACAGCTTTGCAGCTGCACTGATACAGGATGCAAAGTCTGTGTCTACAGATTGGCCAGAGCATGGGCCCAAAGTGCCACTCTCAAAGAAGGGTGAACCAGAAACACAAACAGAAGCAAAACAAACAAACAATAAAACCCCTCAAAACCCCAGCAAAACCAAACTACCTGTTGTCAGCTGCTAGTCACCAAGGAATATTCCTACCTTCTCCAACTTCTTTTTAAAGCATCTCTGGCGATGGCCCTGACGTGGGCTCGATGCAGCCAATCTCGCTCATCATTAGGGAACTAACATGAAGTGATCTCAGGCTATAGTGCTAGGGCACTTGGCAGAAATGCACAGAAGCCTTTCTAGAGGGGCAGGTCCAGTCTGGGCCACTAGGATTAACCCCAAATCTGTCCCCAGGGGACAAGCTGGAAAGGTAAGGAGACAAGGCACCACGGGGAAACCAGCCGTGACTAGCGCCTCACTGAGCTTCATGTCTGGGGTCAGGCTGTCACCAGATCAAGACTGTGAGGCAACTATGAATAAAGTACCTTGAGAACTAAGGGACAGTAGGAGAAAACAAGAGATTAGGTAGGCAGTGTTAGCTGGCACACTGGATAGACCTGAAACAGACCAGAAGGAAGTGAAGAAGGTCATCAAGCCAAGAAGGACAATAGACAGCAAGTGAGGTTTAGTTAAAGAGAAAAACGGCAAACCGGAGGGCAGTTCTAAAGACTTCACCTAAATGGAACGAAGGTAATATGCTGAGAGGAGCGGAATACGTGGTGTGCTGTACCTGCGATCTGAAGGTTTAGGGAGATGAGGAACAGAAGAAATAGCTGAGAATATTCTTGAATTTAATAACATAAAAATGGCAGACAAAATTTCAGTACAACCAATTTGATGAATTTCAGGAAAATTAAAAATGACTCTTTGGGTATAATTTTGCCCTATGTGATTCATAGAATGATTTCTAATTAAAAAAGAAAAATACTGAAATTTAATGGGGCAGCCTGAGCTTTTCTTCAGTGATTTCAAGACTGAATGTCTGCTGTCCTCTCTCCATGGTACTCACCCACCCGACAGTTTCCCACACAGCAGGCACTGGGCCCGCAGACACAGGTGACACCACTCACCGGTCCACTTGTTAGGAAACTGCACAACTTCGACACCATCCGGGTAGGTTGTGTGCGTTGTTTGAGCGTCCGCATAATAATAAATCTGCGAAGACAGGGAAACCCACATTGGGAGGCAGTTCCCCTTACATTGTGAGCTCCAGGGAATCTGATCAATTGGTTCCAGTAGGTGGCTGAACGTACAGGCTCAGCAGGTGAGGGAGGCCTGACTGCATCTCTGGATGCTTCCACAGGTGTGGAACACAGGAGGTGGCGCTAGTCACTGACACCCCAGGAATGACAGTAGGCCATTGGTTACAGGGAGACTGTGGGGTGCAGCTTAGTCGTCAGTTTTGTACATGTTCTAACTCATTACCCGCTGGGCCTTCATACCTCATGGGACCTGTAGCTGGTGAGGTCTAGGTTTTGGTGGACATGGGCTGTGAGCCCCAGGGTCCCATGAATCCTACAGTTTTCAGATCATGAGAGTAGAGCTCACAAGTGCCTTAGGAATCCATGGACCTGAGCCTTGTGTGCTGCCATTTAACCTCAGTGTTTCTGATCGTCACGTCTCCCTTGGTTTCCAAGGAGAAAGAGAAGGAAGGAGGACAACATTTACAAAGTGGGAGGGTGATGGGTACAGGAGAGCGGGTGTTCCCGATGCTAAGGCCAGTCCCTAGATCTGAAGAGGGAGACATTAAAAAATAGCCGCAGCCAGGGCTAGAGTGGGATTGAGTGGGGTGGTTGTCTGAAAAGTAAGAACGTGGACAGAAGGCTCTTCTCTTCTCCTGATTCAAACTCCTGCCTAGTCACATCAGATACGTCCTCTGAGGTGGATCCATGTCTCTCTATCCACAGAAGAGGGGCAAGAAGATGGAGTGTCTTCAAATAGAGTCATATTATTGAAAAATCTGGAACTCTGAGATCTGAATGTGTTTTGGTTAGCGTCTGTCGACCAGGCACAGGCTAGAGTCATTTGAGAAGATGGAACAATAGTTGAGAAGATCCCTCCACTAGATCGCCCTATAGGCAAATCTGGGGGGCATTTTCCTGATGAGTGAGTAATGAGGTCCAGACCACTGTGTGAGTGGTGCCACACCTGAGCAGGTGCTTCTGGGTTGTAGGAAAAGCAGGCTGAGCAAGCCATGGGAAGCCAGCCAGTAAGCAGCGTTCCTCCATGCTTGCTTAGGCTCCTGCCTCCAGCTTTCTGCGGTGATGGTGACTTCCCTCGATATTGTGATGGGGACATGTAAGCCAAATAAATCCTTTCCTTCCCAAGTTGTTCTTGGTTGTGGTGTTTATTATAGCAATAGAAAGCAAACTAGGAAATAGAGCTTCTGTGTTCTATGATGTTTAAGCGTTCTCACTATATTAGCAACATATCTGAAAGCCATGGGCGTCGGGAGTGCCCCTGTCTCCACCGATACATAAGTACCATGCCTACCCTTTGCAAATCGGGAGACATAGGAAGGCAATAGCAGCTCCTGGACAGAGAGCCCCAGAGAGGGCCATGTTTGCTGACCAGAGTCTCACTGTCACCAGCACTGAGCAGGAGTCAGAGCAGGGGAAGTTCTCTCCCAGCTTGCACTGAGCCCTGTTCCCTCTCCTCCCTCATCCCTGTTGCTTCCCATCATCTGCCCATCCTTGCACCGTGTCTGCCTAAGAAATATGTTTGTGATCTCTATGCCCCAAGGTGACACAACACATCTCTTTGCCCCCACCCCCCAGGGCCATGCATTCCTGAAAGTCACCATTTAAATAAGTCTCCCAGGATTTCCTGGTTTATTTATTTTTTTCTCAGCCTATAGGTTAGCTCAGGTCTGTGGGAGGGCATCTGGATAACAACAACAAAAAAAAATTCACAGCAGAGGGTGGGACGCTGGTGGAAACAGCACTAATGTGCGACTCTGCAGGGTGAACCCATGAAGATTGCTTGCATCATACACCATGGACAAAATTCTCATTAGCAAGAAAGTTCTGACCTTCTGTCTTCCCTCATCTCCTGACATCAGGGGAACAAAAGTACACACATCTATAAAAGGTTTGCTAGTCACTGGGTAGGCTCTGATTCTGAAAGAATACAAGTGTGTGTGTCTATGGCACGCACCACTCTCTGATCGGACTTGACCTTCTTCATGTCACCATTAAAAAACTTGATGAGGGTGGTCTTCTTGTCAGCACTGATCTCTTTCCTGGTTCCATTGGGGAAGGTGATGATAGTTCGCCCATCACTGAGCAACCTCTCCACCTTGATGGACACACAGAAATGCCCAGGTGAAGAGTTAGAGCAGGCATGATGAACACATTTCCTCTATTTCCTCTTGTATTCAAAATCACTGCCCACTGTCTGCCTGGCACACTGGATCCTAGCAGCTACACACATACATAAAGACATGCACACACACGTGTGCGCACACACACATGCACACACAAACACACACACAAATATACATACAGGCACACACGCACATGCACACACACATGCACAGACATGCACATACACACACATGCACACACAAACACACATGCACATACATACAAACATGCACAGACACATGCACACACAGGCAAACATGTACACACACATGCACACACACACACACGCACATGCACACACATGCATACAACCTATACTGAGGAGCTTCTATCCTTGGCCTGCATGTGGTTGTCAATAGGAAGTGTAATGACTTGTTCCTCAGTGTCTGCCTTCCTTCAAGTTGACACTGTGCACTTGTCGTGAGTCTATATGATCCATCAACCCAGGACTGGTGAACCTGAAATCCTGGGCCAGATAAAATTGCACGATTTCTATGTAAAAATGAACTTTTGTGCTTATTTTGTCTTCCCCCTTCATCCTCTTGTCTCATACACAACACTAAACTGTTTCAATTAATAATGAGTAAATAAGTAACTCCAAATGCATACTGCTAGGCTCTCAGTAGAAAACATTATCCCTTTAAAGATTAATGCAAACAGACACCGGCAGAGAGGACCTCAGTTTGCTATGCCAATACAACCTCTCCCATTCTGCCTGCCGTGCCCCTTGCTCACATCAGAAGACCATGTTGAGTGATGGAGGACCCTGAGATGGTTTGAGTCACTACAACATTCATACAGTAGTGAAGTCGCCTAATGCAATTCTGAGAGACTGTCATGCATGATCACGAGATTTTCAAAGTTTTCACTATTAAAATAGGAGATGAACCACCAAAGAGGATATAAAACTGATTGTTTTCTAGTTTAGACCGTGTCATTGCTTTTTCATTTTTTTTAACATAGTAGATAAGTGTGTAAAAACATATTTGACAGGATGTAAAATCTAATCTGACTCTCAACGGCTTCAGAATGGCTAGTCTAATTGTGTAGAGTTCATCAAGATGTATAGACTTGAGCTGGGGAGACGGCTCAGCTGTGAAAGGCTAGACTCACAACCAAACATATATGTGAAGTATACACTTTGAGTCTGATTAATTCTATTGTGTGACTTTTCTCATTGCAAATTTTTTATGATAAAGTTTTAACTAAAAATATAATTTTTAACATAAAATTGAATGAACAAGAAAATAATTCAGCATATCCAATGCAAGGCACACATAGATTCAAGGTAAGACGTCAGAAGACACAGTACTATAATGGGGAATCAGAGAGCTGGGGAGTGTGGCTGATATTAGGTTACAAGACAGAAAGCTCATTCCAGAGTGTCGTTTGCCATGGACCACCTGCTTAACACATTTATACCCTGTGGCTTCTGATGCCCAAGCCAGTGATTGATCCATAACTTGTTGGCCTAACCAGCAATGGCCCTCCTTCTTGTCTGTGCTTTGTTCGGCTGTGTTTCTTTGCTTGACAACCATGTGAAGCAACCACACTAAAGAAAGGCTTTGTGGTTTAGGAATGTAGCTCAGTTGGTAGACTGTTTGCCCAGGATGCTTGAGGCCCTGGGATCCCCAGTAATCCCGGTCTTCAGGAGTTGGAGAATCAAAAGCTCAAGGTCATTGTGCCACATGGTGAGCTTGAATACATAAGACCTGAGAACTGTCTAAGAGGAGAAGGGAGAGGAGGAAAAGGAGGCACAGGAAGAAGAGGGATGGAGGAAGGTGGGAGAGGAAGAAGAAGGGGAGGAAGGGGGAGGAGGAAGGGGAAGGAAGAGGAAGAAAGGGGAGGAGAAGGAAAGTAGGATGAAGAGGGTAAAGAAGGGGAGGAGGAGGAAGGGGAAGAAGGAGAGGAGGAGAAGGAAGAGGGTGAGTAAAAGGAAAATGAAGAGTTTGAGGAGGAAAGGGAAGAGGAGGAGAAGAAGGAGGAGGAGAAAAAGGAGGAGGAAAAGGAAGAGGAGGAGGAGTGGATAGAGGAGGAGGAAGAAGAAGAGGAGAAGGAGGAGGTTAAAATAAAAAGCTGTGAAGGCAAGCAACCTTGCTCATCTGCTTAAAGCATTCTCTGCTTTCAAGGGTGAAGATCTACAGCCCAAAGTTCCAAAAACAAAATGAAATGTGGACTCTCTCCAGCAAGAGAGCGAGAAAGTGAAGGTGCTTTGGGCAAAAAGCTGGGCCACAGCCGCTCACCCCTTCCCACCCTTCCTGAGACAACCCCAGCCCTCTGACAGCAACACTCTGGGACAAAAGTGCTTCTTGAGGTAGTTGTTGGGAGGCTCTGAGGGCAGAGGGGTGGGTGGATGCTCCTAACAGAGCTGGGGTTTGTTACTGGAAGAAGCTGGTTATCAGTGATGCTCTAGAGAGGTGCACCAGCCACTAGCTTATAGCCCCATGGCAGACAGCATGGCTCAGACTACACAGCACAGAGAACATAGCAGGGAAAGATTATGTGCAGCAGAAACCTACCTTGCCATTTGAGTGTCGCTTTTCCTGTGTCTCATCATCCTTCGTAGTGTCTGAGGTTTGTGGTACTTCTTTAGGAGCTCTTGACTTTGCTGGAAGATTCTATAAAGAGAGTATAACGACTGCCCCCACTGTCCCCATCCCCAGCTGTGAGAATCAAAGGCCTATCACTGCTGTGAGAACCATAGGTCCTTCAATACTGGGAGGACCACAGGCCCATCAATGCTGGGAGAATCATAGGTCCATCAATGCTGGGAGAATCATAGGTCCATTAATGCTGGGAGAATCATAGGCCCATCAATGCTTGGAGAACTATAGGCCCATGAATGCTGGGAGAACCACAGGCCCATGAGTGCTGGGAGAACCATAGGCCCATCAATGCTTGGAGAACCATAGGCCCATGAATGCTGGGATAACCACAGGCCCATCAATGCTGGGAGAACCATAGGCCCATCAATGCTTGGAGAACCACAGGCCCATCAATGCTGGGAGAACCACAGGCCCATCAATGCTGGAAGAACCATAAGCCCATCAATCTTGGGATCACGTTTGTGTTTGTAAAGATGTTTCTTCCTCTTGTGTTCTCCATCTATACTGGGGTGAGTGTGGTGACAGTCACCCAGTTCTGATTCTGTGTGCATGTCACTGAGGCCTTGAGGGGATCAGTAGCTGGAATCTGATTAACTAAACCTGTCTTACCTTTGCTGATTAGGCTGGGAATGGTTACTGACTATTTTTAGGGGATCCTCCCACTGTCTACCTTTACATGGTAAATAACTTTATAGCCCGTGCCATGGATCCAGGGTATTTCTGCTACCTTTGGGTTTTTATTCCATTCGTTTCTACTGAGCATTGCAAATAAGAACAGAATAATACTTTGGCTTCTCGATCCTTAAAGTTACAGAAACTCTACCCGCTTTGCCTACAGGTCTGATGCAGTCCTCTGATGGTTACAGGAATGCCAGTTCCACTCATCTGAAAGGCTAAGTGTGCTCAGATACTGAGGGAGCATTTGCAGCCATAACAGCCTCCAGTGCTCATGGGAGCAGCCATGTCTGCCTCAACCTCCAGGTCTGTCTTTCCCCAGCCTCCCCACCAGATAAAACTCTACCTACCTGCAGCCACAGTGCATTCGGGGAAAAACAAGGGAGGGCCCTGCTTGCTCGAGCCTGTAGGAGAAGCTCACCTTCCGAAGTCTCTGGATTGGAGGACCAGATATCTGAAACAACGGAGAAGGTGATTTCAAGAGACTGTGCACACACAGTGAAAATGTCATAGTCCCAGTGCAGAGTTCCAAGTCTGAATTAAGTTTCCTGAAGTCACTGTGCAAATACCAGTGGCTGACTGTGTGGAAATCAGGAAGTGCTGAGGGCAAACAGTCAACCTTTGTCCACTGGTGGTGGTAGCCCAAATAACTAAGCTAGAAGAGGGTGGTGTCTGCCCCAGTAGGGGGTGGACATAGGAAGAGAAAAATTACAAATTCGTGACAATTGCCCACTAGACACTTAGAAGGAAATGGGCAGTTGGGAAGGAACACTGTGTATCCAGGGCAGTTGGAAATGGGCAGAAAGATCATGCTCACAGAGGAACCGAGAGCAGCAGACCTGTAGCCAAGAGCAGAGACAATACTGCATGAATACTTGCTTGCTCTCTTTCAACTAACTCTCTCCTTTCTTATACTATTCAGGACCCCTTGACTAGGGAATAGTGCCGCCCACTATGGGCTGAGTCTTACTATAACAATTCACAAGGCAGTGAGTTGTCTTGTAAACTCTTCACAGACATGTCTATGGGCCAACCTGATGAAAATAACTCCTCCTCAGAAGGGAGGTGATTCTTGGTTGTATCAAGTTGACAGTTAAAAGCAACCAACACACAGGTTATGGTAGGTGTGGTCATTGGCACATTTGGTCTCCATTCAGAGGCGATGTTTGAGGAGGTTCAGTTGGTATGACCTTGATAGAGGAAACATATTACTTGGGGGCTGGCTTTAAGAGTAAAAAGCCTTGCTTACTACCAGTTTTCTCTGTTTTGTGCTTCTAGTACCTGCCATTATGAGCGAATGCTCTGGAAAGAACGAATAAACTCTGTTGTGGTCATCACGGTGCTTTATCACAGCAACAGAACTGAGACACAGAGAGTACAAAAATGCCACAAAGACCTGCTGGGTGGGGTGCTTACCCATGCACAAGGGTCTGAGGTTCAGTGTGTCAAAGGGGACCCACAAGGACTATGCACTGGGGTGGGTAGGAGCCAGGCTACAGGTGGGTGAGAGTTCTCTCTGCCCACAAGGGGTGCAGCTGAGCCCAGCAGCCAAGGCTCTGTGTAAAGGCTCCTAGGCAGAGATCATGCGTGCACACACATGCAGGGGCAGACCCAAGAGCACAGAGAGTATGATGACCACCTCTGGCAGCAGCTGAAGGGGAGCATTCTTCCTTACTGTTGTGGGGTACTCAGAGCCTGCAGGTGGGACCCACAGGGACAGGAGAAGCTGTAGACTTGGATGGACAGCTTGAGCTCAGAGGGAGGTCAGGCAAGTGCTGGGGAGGCCAGGAGAGCCCAAGTGTCCGGGCTGAGGATGGCCCTGGAGAGCCAGCCTGGGCTCTGCAAAGGTGTTGGGAGAGGTTACCAAGACAGACGGAGGAGCTCAAGTTGGAATCAGAAAATAGTCAGAACCTAGGGAGTTCTTGAGGCCTCACCCACATGCCACATCCCAGATCTTAATGGTCCCTCCCAGTGAGCATCCAGCAGGGACTGGACTCCTGCTCCCATTTCTTCTCACCAGCCAGTGACTCTGTGTCCAGGAATGTGCTGTCAGAAAGTGGTTCTGGTGACATTCTGCCAAAGCCTCTTCGCAGAAATTTGGAAGACATGTGGATAACCTGGGTACAGACAGAGTCACAAAACCAGCATGTCATTTCCTCCAGCCATGCCCCCAAGCCATTGACCAGGTGCTGTGCACAGTCATGAGCTCTCAGGTGCCTCAGACACTTCTCGGGCTCTATCAAGAGCACTGGACTGTGTTCCCCGGATTCAGGCAATTGATGCAATGTAGAAAATCCCCACCCATACACTAGGTTAAAAAAAGACCCCTGCCACTCTAATCTTGTCTTAGCACCGAAGGCACATATGCAGACAGTTTTCTAATCTATAGAAACATCGTCATGTTTAACAAATCCCTGAGTCCATTTTGAGTAGCAAAGTGAGTGTTCTTACTGGACTTCATTCCACTGGGATAAAGCAGGTTGCGTTCCTGGGACGAGGAGGTGAGAGGTGGGGAGAGGAAAGGGCTGGCAAAGGGCCTTCTGCTCTAGCATGAGGACCCAAGTTCAGATCCATAGGCCCCACAAGAGAACGGGTGGGGCAGTGTCCCTATAACCGCAGCAGCCACAAAGCACAGGCAGGAGGATGCCTGAAGCTTGCTAGCCAGAGAGCAGAGTCAACCAGAGAAGGCCAGGCTCAGAGAACACGTCTCACAAAACAAGGTAGAGGGCCCAGGGAGCCCACCCAGTGGTTAAAGCTGCTGCTGTTTCAGAGGAGCCCAGTTCGGTTCTCAGCATTTATGTTGGATGAATCGCAGTCAGTTTTAACTCTACAGCAAGGGATTTTATTCTTCCCATGATGATGTTCTCGTCTGGTCTCCATGGGTACAGACACACAGGTAAAAGCAATTTTTAAAAATGATGTGAAAATGGATACAGGAAGACAATACACACATACACACACACACACACACACACATACATACATATATACATACATGCATACATACACACATACACACATACACACATACATACATACACACATACACACATACATACATACACACATACATACACAAACACATACATACATACATGCATACATACACACATACACACATACACACATACACACACACATACATACACACATATATACATACACACATACACACACATACATATATACACACATACACACATACATACATACACAAATACATACACACATACATACATACACACATACATACATGCATACATACATGCATACATACATACACACATACACACATACACACATACACATATACACACATACATACATACATACATACATACACACATACATACGTACACACATACACACATACATACATACACGCATACACGCATACACACATACACACATACACACATACATACATACATACATAAATACATACATACATTAAACACTTTTGAAACAAGGTATAGACAGATACTGGAAGACTGCCCACACAAAGACAGAGAGGGAGAAGGATGGAGGGATGGAGGGCAGAAAAAAGGGAAGGCAGAGAGAGGGAGGGTTGGAGGGGTGGCAGGGAGAGGGAGAGACAGGGACTATACACAATCAGTATAAGCTCCCAAGGTCACCTTTTCATCTAAAGATGTAAAAGACAGCCTTTCGTCCAGCGAGTCTGTTCCACCAGTGGCCATTGTACTTCCATTTTGAGGACTTCCGGAAGGCACATCATCTCTTTCATCCCATGACGTCGTTCTCTCGGAATCTACTGCCTCTATCTGTATGTACACTGGCTACAAACAAACGTGGGGGGGTTGTATTAGCATCAGTAGCACTGCCCCAACGTGTGTCAGTTAACGCAACACATTTGCTACCCCACAGCCCTCTGTAGATGGCAGTATACAAAGGGTTCACAATCTGTCATCTAGAGGTTTGATACTACAGTGCTTAAAGGGCACGTTTAACAAATTTTAAAAACAAGTTTCTAGCCTTTGTCCTATTTTAAAAAATCACCCCCCTCATGCACACATAGCTCTGCTAAGCAGTCTTGCTGCATTCAGATTAGTGATTACACCTACTCTCTTCTTCTGTGGCCCCCAAACTAGCAGCAGAACCCTGGTACAGAGGAGAGCATGCAGAAAGGCCACACGTGCAAACCACAGGCAGGCAGGGACACCCGAGGGCAGGGGCTCGCAGGCTTAAAGGGCACAGTGAGGGAGGGACGCGTTTTAAACAGCTCACTAATGCTGGGATCTCTTAGTGACAGCTTGAGTTAGGAGAGTTAGCACTGGATTCCGTCCAGGCTGGTGAGATTTCTGTGACCTGTGAGTGCTTCCTTCTTCTCGCTGACCTCGGTTCCAAACCATCACAGGACCCCAAGACTGAGACTAAACAACTCTAACTCTCCTGCCCTTCCATTACCCAACTTTAGCTGAGCATGTGGAAAACAAAGTTTATTTAAAGTTTTTTTTATATATAATTTATTTTGATGATAGTCTTTTCTTTCCCCCAGCTCCTCTCCACTTCCCTACTGCACTACTTCATGTTCTATCATCTATCTATCTATCTATCTATCTATCTATCTATCTATCTATCTATCTCAAAAATAACAAAAAACAACAAAATAAAAAGCACACAAATGAAAAATCGAAATAGATTAAAAAAAAAAAACACACACACACATACACACTGAAGAACTCGAATTGTCTCTTTCCCAGGAGGTATCATTTGTAAACAGCATCCCAGTCCACTTCCCCTTCTTAGTGCTGGGATTTTATTCAGTTTGAACCCGTACAGGTCTTAGTGTGCTGTTGTGGTCTCTGTGAGTTCATAGTGTGTCAGCCCTGTTGTGTCTGGATGATGCTGTTTCTGTGGAGGCGTGAGGGGGAGGGGCTTGAGGAAGATAACCCTTCTAGGACCAAGTGCCTCAAAGCCTCTCTCTTCACACTGTCCTCTTGTGCTTTTCTATGTTAATTACCGCCTATGCAAGAAGAAACGCCTCTGGCGAGGGCCAAGTTGGCACTGATCTATGGGTATAGCTATGTGTTATTAGGACTCATTTTATTGATATTTATTGATATGATAGCAGAATAATTCTATTTGGTTTTCTCTTTGGCTCATAACCTATCTAGCCTCAGTTTCTTGGCCAGTTTAGCAGCGTTGGGTATGGGTTCTATCTCCTTGAGTGGTCCTTAAATTCAACAGATTAAATTTAATAAATTAAATTCAATAAAGGAGTGGCTGGTTATTCCCATAATATTTATGCCATGATTGCACCAATATATCTTGTGGACAGGTCTCTGTTTTAGGTAAGTGGGTTTGGAATGGGTGCTACTGACGATTACCTTTCTCCCCTGGTAGCACGCAGGGTGCCTCATAACACCATGAACACTAGGTGAAGGAAGCTTCTAGTGGCTAAGAGTTTAATTTCTCCATTTCAATGAGGAAACTCTGTCTTCCAAAATCAGAGCCTTACAAATCAGTGTGTAGAGAGCAACCAATAGTCTTAGCTATAGCCTGTTATGTCTGGGGAGTTCCATTGGACCCCTCTGGCCAATGACTCAACAAGACACTGCAGGATTTATTTGGTGGGGTAAGATGTCTAGTTGGAGTATTGTCTTTCCCATTATATAGTATATCCATTTAAATTTCTTCTCTCTGTCTGTGTGTGTGTGTGTGTATGTGTGTGTGTACAACTGAGAGAGAATGTGTCTCTGTGTGTGTGTACAAGTGAGAGAGAGAGAGAAAGAAAGAGAGAGTGAGAGGAAGTGAGGGAGGGAGAGAGGGAAAGGGAAATGGGAGGGGGAGGGGAAGGGAGAAAAGAGGTGAGAGGGGAGGGGGAAGGTAGAAAGGGGGAGAACGTATCCTGAGATACAGGACTTACTTCTTTGGAGACTATCTACAAGTGTGGAGTGGGTGTTTTAATTTGCACACTCTCCCCTGAAGAAGAAGGGCAGTGTGAACCTTCAACCCTGTGTCTCCAGTGCTTCATACAAACACACATACACACATGCACACACACGCACACGCACACACACACACACACACATGTGTACATGTGGCTGACTTCCTGATGTCATTCCTAGAACCTTGTTTGACTACAACATCCCTGGACACATACACACACACACACACATACACACACACACACACATACACACACACACACACACACACGTGTACATGTGGCCGACTTTCTGACATCATTCCTAGAACATTGTTTGACTGTGACATCCCTGGACAAATGTAAAAGTGTGGCACTCACAGACTTGCTCTGTTGCTTCTGTTGTTGTTCAAAGATGTGTGTTCGTGGTGCAGATGCTGTTTCTATCCGCAGTCAAATGAGGAGTGGCATCATGCACAGTCAGAGAGCATTTGAGAACTCGCCAAGTGGTTACTCACAGAGAGGAAAGCCTGACATCTGAAGATTTGGAGTTGTACATAACCCACTTAGCATTAGCAAGGGGTAGTGGAAACATGACAGCAAAAGGCTATGTAAAGTCTCTCACAGGACCCCACTCAGCTTCTACCAGTGGCAGCAGCCAGCTCCCAGTCACTGAGTTACCAGGTTGGCTCTAAGTCCTATTTCCCCCTGTGCCTGGGTAGAGCTAATGACAGGATCCAGTCCATCAGTTAAGGTAAAGTAGAAACCTGGAGTCCTGAGGTGTCCTGGTGCGCAGCTGTTCCATCAGAGCCCGTGAGTGTCCTGGAGACAGGGTGGGGACATGCCCTCCCCGGGGCTCATAGGAAGGCTGAGTCAAAATTTGCTATCAGTGCTGAGTGGTTTATGCTTGACAGACAGTTAAGCCCTCCTGGGGTACCCAGTGGAGACAGTGTGCCTGCCTGGGAGGGTGCATGCCTTCATATGCGGTGTTATCTCTGTAATGCAGAGAGTCTGCTGTACCAGAGTTTTGGATGCTCTTGGCGGGGCTGACGAGCCTGTAGAGGTTTTGGTGGCCTCCGTATCCTGCTTCTTCAAGGTCTTCAGTTCTGCTCGGATCTCCTGGTTCTCCTTTATCAGAGCGTCGATCTGGCTTTGGAGGTCTTTGTGAGCTACACACCACCAAGATGACTGCCTTGTGAGCTCTGTCCCAAGGTCACAGATCTGCTTCTGCAGACCCTGGGATGGGAAGAGAGTGACAGGCACTTATCAGACGACCTGCAGGTGGACCAAACCCCAGAGTCCTCCCCCGCCCCGACCGGAGAGATCGTGGACCCGTGGGACACTGTCTGTCTCTAAGGAGAAAACAGGATGTTCACAACTCCAGTCACTGTCCCCAAGTGTGTCAACTGTGAGCTATTCTACACACCCCAACTAGATCTACTGGATGGTGAGGTACAGTCAGTGCTAGCACATTTCTGTAAGAGGAATCTACTTTTCTTCCTCAGCCTCCTCGGGGGCAGTTGAAAAGGAGCTGCCACCAGGAGTCTGAAAAATGTTGGGACCCAGTCCTTGTTGGCATTTCCTCTAGGCTCTGCCCAAAAGTTACCTAGCAACAGATTGCATCACTGCCCTCCAGGTACCAGCCAGGAACCAGACATATAAGAAGACCACTTCTCTCTCTCCCCCTCCCCTCCCCTTTTTCCTCTCTCCTACCCCATCCCCAGCTGACCTCTTCCCCCTCTCTCTCTTCCTCTCTTTTCTGTCCTTCTCTGTCCCCTTTCTCTGCCTCTACCCCCTTCCCCAGGTCTCCTTCCCTTCCAGCCAATAAACTCCCTTTTTATACTAGGCCTGTCACATGGCTGATTCCTCAGGGGAACACCTTGACCTGATCAGCTGAGGTGCCCCTCCCACTGCATCACAACACCACATTTTATAGAACACATAACTGTCCTGACTTCCTTGTTGGGAGACCTCAGAGAGACCCCACCTAACCTCTCTGGGCCTGCTTCTTTCCCCCCAGAGAGCTGAAATAAAATAACCTTGCATTATTATCTGAGTATGGGGACTACCCATCATTGTTGATATTACTTGTAAAAGGCCACTAGGTTTTGTGTGTGTGTGTGTTGGCTCTTTATTTTAAGGTCACATACATTCAACTATACACATAACAGGTATCACGAGATGCCTGCATCAGCCACTCCCACATGCCTTGAGGAGCTGATGGCAAATGTTAAGAATTGAGTGAGGACATGCTCTTCAGCCTCTGCCAATCACAGGACAGTCATATCTATCACCTGGAGATGCCACTGGGATTGACAAAGCCAGGTCCAGGATCTCCTTCCCCTGCAGCTAATGCTTTTTCCATCAGCTGCTGCCCCAGAGCCTCTAAGGTTTGTCCTTTATCCTGTCAGTTCACCAAAGATTTCCTGCTCAGTATCAAAGAAGGTATCCCGGCAAAGGTCCAACATTTGGGAGATGTTAGTCCTAAGGGATTGTGTGTGTGTGTGTGTGTGTGTGTGTGTGGGTGTGTGTGTGTGTGTGTGTGAAAGAGAGAGAGAGAGAGAGAGAGAGAGAGAGAGAGACAGAGACAGAGACAGAGACAGAGACAGAGAGACAGAGACAAATAGAAACAGAGAGAGACAGAGACAGAAACAGATAGACACAGAGACAGATAGCTACAGAGAAACAAAAAAGCCAGAGAGAGGAGGAGAGAGAGGAGAGAAAAGAGAGGGGGAAGAGAAGTGAGAGGAGAGAGAAACAGAAAGAGATAGACACATACACAGAGAGACAGAAAGAGACAGAGAAAGAGGCAGACAGACACATACACACACACCACACACACACACACACACACACAGAGAGAGAGAGAGAGAGAGAGAGAGAGAGAGAGAGAGAGAGAGAGAGAGAGAGAGAGAGAAAGATGCAGCAGAATGGGCTGGGGTCTCAGTAGCCTAGTAACCTGACTAACTTACTCCTGCCTTAGTCTCTGCCGCATACTAACAGCACCAGCCAGGTGGAACTGGTGTAACGCATCTTTGGCAGGACATTTGAGATTCAAACTGTAATGCCAACTCACAGGAGTTCTCAGACCCTAGAAAACCCTGACACCAGCAAGCCATTGACTCTGGAAGAAGGGTGAACAATATATCAGTGACTTGGTGTCAAATTCCTTAGGTAAGATTCAGAGATGCCTGACAACTCAGGACTCCTGCTCCACCTCCTCATCATAAAACCACCATTTCCTGACCATTCCCGTAAGAAGATAACCCTGTGACCTTGTGATGTTCTCTGTGGGATAGTCTGATATATGTGCTGCCCATGCCCCTCCATCTCTCTTCAACAGTGCTGTGTGACATCTATGACCAGGAGCTCGCACCCTGCCCCTCCACACACATTAGGAATCTAACACAGGGTGGGGAACCCAGGAGTAGGGTGCTGTTCCTAAAGAGTTCCCAAGCCAACTCTACACACAACAATCTGTTCTGCCTGTGGATGTAAACCCTCTGCTCCATCCTTACACCCATCCTTGCCTTTGCTTTCTGAGAGAGGTCTAGAATATGAATCTTCTATGAAAAGAATCCTTGAAATCTTGAAGAGTCCTCTCATGGTCCTTTCATGCCTCAGAAAGAATGTTCCCTTCTCGAATGTGCTCTGTGAGGACCATGCATCAAGGCCCCAACCTCTGCATGATCAGGCTCCTGGTTGGCTACTTGGTGACTTCTTCTGTAGCCTCTGAGTCCCTTATTACAAGGAGATCCTCACACATTCAGTCAAAAGTTCTGGGTTTTATGCTGTAGCCACCAAGCACAGGCTTTGTGATACTCACAGGCCACTTTCTAAAGTAAGGACCAAATACTTCTCCCAGGTTTGTAGCATGACTCAGTATTGACAAAACATGAGATATGTTTAGGCAAGGACCTAGTGCTAACTAAACAAGGTCAACACTAAGGTCATGGTGGCCCTGTCACTATATCACCAACGCCCAGAGAAAGCCCTCAGATATACTGTGACGTGTGTCTTCCTAGATCTCTAACAACTACTGGAAGACAAAGTTTACACATCAGGTTTTCCGTGGACTTCTTCAGTTGGCCTAGGGAAAGCTGCAGCCTTGTTCTGAGAACAAATGGGATCAGAGCCTAAGAGAGGTTACAGTCCAGCCTTCCATGGAACAAGGGACTGGATGTGTGAAAGTCCTTGTGTGTGTGAGTCTGTGTATGTCAATGTCTGTTTCTATGTGTGTGCCTGTGTGTGTGTCTCTGTGTGTATCTGTGTGTGTGCCTGTGTGTGTGTCTGTGTGCTTGTCTCTGTGTGTGTATGTTAATAGGAGACACTTTGCAGGCAGACAGGGGAACCTGGCAAGGATCCGGGAGTTTACTGGCATGCTTTAAGGAATGCAAATGTCCTGACATTTTGGAGCCATTTTCAGAAGCCTAGAGCCTTCTCCAGAACTAGAAGAAGGGAGCCAGGATGTTTGTCTAGTGTTATCAGCTCTACACCTCTGTACCTGCCACTCAGAGGCATCACAGAGGTGGAACCAGAGCTTGTCCCAGGAGAGTGAGCTCACACTGACATGGCCCTAAAGGGCAACCAGACGTGTATAAAGGAACAGCAGATCTCAAGACCAGAAGCAGAGTTCTACCCACTACAGTGTCCCATTCGAGGGACACACTGCCTCTCAGCTTACCACAACCTCGTTAAGCTTGCTGTCATCCCCATGGATCTGGGCTGTAGTCTCCATCTTCCTCTTCTCATGGTTGGACCCTCCTCCCTGACTCAGGTCCTCTAACATGGCTTGTCTCTGCTGACTCCTTAGCCTCGAGGTGACCAGTAAGCATTCTGGTTGTAAAGGAGAACAGACAGAGAGTTTCTTACTGCATCCCACCTCTGCCCCTCTGAGTATTACCCAGTGGCCTTCCCATCTTCCCATTCACAATAGAGAATACACAACTGTGCTTCACTATGTCCTGCCATCCTCCTCCCTGGGAACAGTCCCCACTGGGAGCTGACCAAGAAAAGGTTCCCCTGTCTGGAAACCACAGAATGGAAAGGACCCAGTCACTTACAAGTGCTGTGTCCCCAGAGGAGGGTGGAAAACACTTTGGTTCAGAGAGTCTGCATGGTATCTGATCACATGAGTACTGCCAGCATTCCCTTGAGGTGAGCAGGGCCTTGAGAGGGCACCTGAGAGGTCTTAGTCCTTCGTCAGATCTTTTTTTGACTGCCTCTCATCAGGACAAACCCCTCGTTCCCAACCTACAACTCCATAACCTAAAAGGATGACACAGAAGCAGAAGTTTATGGAACCTGAGAGTTGAAGCCATGGGGAGAAGAGCCCAGCAGGAGACAGCTGAGTGGAGGGAAAAATCAAGGAGCAGCCTGCCTGCCACGGGAGAACACAGGTACCAGCATCTGACATCAAAAACCAAATCAATCCCTCTACCACCACTAAAGGCCCACTGCGGCTAATTACCACACCCTTGCCAACATAGGGAATGGCAACCACTGGCAGGTTTGGGGGAGGGGGTGTGAGGATTGGTGAGAGGCAGAGGGATTTCCAGGCAGAGCCTCTGGGAATGTCCTTACCACGAACCACACATATAACAACACATTTCCTGTTTCTACACATAAACACGTGTGTTCATAAACCTAGGCTGTATATAAACAAGAATGAGCAGCTTAGCCACAGTGATAGGGGTTCTGGCTGGAGACAAGGTATTTCCTACTGAGAGACAGACAAAAGCATCTAGATCATTCAGAACCCGCTGCACCTTCAACTGGCCCCAGGCCCCATGGTTTCCTGCAGGGGAGACTGCCATCCACGGCTTCTCAGAAGGGGAACTCTATAGTCCCAAGCACTGGGTCCTAAGTCCCTCTTACCAGGGAGTACCCTCCCTCTGCACCCCCCAGCCATTCTTGGTCACCTCACCTAGCCTAAGATGGTGACTTCTACCAGGACATTCCTCATCTAGGCCATATCCCAACAGCTCTCTGTGCCCTCCACACAGCTAGCTTAAGATCTCCAGGAAACCCGTCCATTCTAAACCGACTCTCTGTCTTAAAGGGCCATGCCATCTCATGAAGTCTTAGAGTTTTATGGAGTTTTATAAGGTTATAAGATTTTATAATTACCAACATAACCATAGTTTAGCTAGAGTAAGCTCATGTCCATCCACATAGAGAACTGGAGAAAGCCAGATTCTCTACTCAATTGACAACAGAATAAAAACCCAATTTTCTCAGCACACATTCTTGAAAAACTGTAAAATTGCTTTAAGATGAAATTAAACCATTCATAGATATTCACAAGGAGAATACAATCTCTACGAGGTTAAACAGGAGATACAAGGCAAAATTTCATGATTCCACAAAAATGCTTCTCCCACTAACTTGTCCAATCTGGTTTTTGTGATTTGGGGCAAGGATGAGAAACAATGAGAGAGTCAGTGTACAGCCAAAAGCCCTGCCCATCACTTCTTACACCCAGCAAAATATTTGAAGTGGTTAAATATTTAAAGGCAAACAGAGGGAACATTTTTCACAAGAGTGTGTCATTCCCTGCCTGGGAATCCTTAGTCACACAGACCCTGGAGACATAGAGGGTTCTAGCTGTGTTGGAATTGACAGTGCTAATCCTGGGAGGCCTTGAACTGCTTCTTGTTCTCTTTCTACCATCAAGTTCTACTTCGACCAGTGTTTGTTAGCCAGGAGAATCCCGGTACCCAGGACTTTGATTGTATCCATTGGATGATAAAACATCCGCCATCTGGCTGTGGTCAGAGGTGCTCCTTCCTGGGAAGGAATCCCTAACACGGCTCCATGTGAATATGTCGCCAGAGCTGCATGGAGTGGAACTTCAGAAGCCCAAGGAGGCTGGGTGGAGGGTGTCCACAAGCAGGGATATAGGAAGGGCTAAACTCCATTTCTTCCTGTCCGTTTTCTGATGGACAAACATCTGTAGGAGCCTGCAGTGGTGTCAGTCAGCCTGAACCTGCTTGGGACATTGGTGTTGCATGGTCTGTGACATGGAACATTGGGGTTGAATGGTCTGTGACATGGGACATTGGTGTTGGATGGTCTGTGGCATGGGGTCAGCAGAAAACAATGACGCGTGGAGTGAGGAACACCATGAATGCCTCCGATGCACCTCAGACTTGGCTGTTCGCACTCTTACATTCATAGGGGAGGTGGCAGCATACCTAATTCATTCACCTTCGGAGAGCAGAAGTCGATTCCTGTGTTGTCTGTTAACGAGGAGGCAGACTTTCTAGGAAGGTCCTAAAGACAGAAAGGTTTCTACATGTGATTCCTGCAGACTGGCAAAGTGATTTGGGATTTTTTCCTCCTAGTAGTCAAGCCCTTGCCTTATGTCTGAGTGTGAATCCTCATCTGTGTGTCTGTGAGAGCTATGCTAAGGTGTAAATTCTCAACTGTGTGTGGGATCTATGCTAAGGTGTGAGTCCTCAACTGTGTGTCTGTGAGATGTATGCTAAGGTGAAGTCTCTGACACTCCAACTCCTCTGTGAACATAGATAACCAGGGATGGTCTGCAAGTGTCCTGACAGTCCATTGTAGAATAGTTAAAGGAAAAACTGCAATCCATGACTAAGAAAGAACACAAATCCTGAGTAAGACTCAGATCCAGAGGCCAAAACTTTTTTTAAATAAGCAACACTGTGTGACAATAACACACAAAGATAAACATGTTTGTCTGTTCCACAGTCTCCTCCTCTTTAAGACCTGTAGTGTTGAGACAGCCAATCCTCCTGAATTCTGTTGACTCACCCACTCCAATAATGAACTGGTTAGATAGGCAGGATTGAACAAATGGAGAGGGCTTATTCAGCTGGTAATAATACTTCAAATGGGAGAATGTAAGGCCACCATGTGGGAGCAGCTGAGTAGGATGGTAGAATCTTTCAGCTAGTAGTAGCAGAAGGATTCCAACCAAAGGCTGCCAATGAGCATCACAGCTCTCAGGACATCAGGAGAGCAGTCCTCAGAAGAATAAGCCTTCAGGTGTATTAGTCAGGGTTCTCTAGAGGAGCGGTACTTATAGAAAGAGTGTATACATATATACATACACATATACACACACATACACACATACACACATACACATACATACACACACATACATGTACACATACATACATACATATGCACAAACACATATACACACACATACACATTTACACACATACACACACATACACACATATACACACATACACACATATATACATACATATACACATACATA